TCATTAATTTATGTACTAAATTTTTTAAAGCAACATTTTGTTGTTTTTGGTGTAAAAGCCTTGTATTTTATTCTTTATGATGCTATTGTAAATGGGATTTCTTTTTGTTCATTGTTAGGATAAAAATGCAACTGATTTTTGCATGTTGATTTGTATCCTGCAGCTTTGCTGAATTTTGTTTATTAGTAAAAACTATTAATTTTTGTAATGGAAGCTTTCCTAACAAATTGCATGTTTTTCTTAAGCTCAGTTTGCCAGAAATTTTAATGAGTTTGGTGCTTAGAATTAGGACATACTTAATTTTTAAAATCTCTTACCAAAGCCTAGTTTTAAATATGTAGGTAATATGGTTTAATTGGACTCAGTTGTGTGGTTTAAAAATTAAATTTTTTCTTTTGCAGTTCTGGGGATTTAACTGAGGGCCACACACATAGATGCTAGATAGGTGCTGTAACCATTGAGCTACATCTCCAGATCCTATAATTGTTATTTACATATGGGGATTTATTGTAAATAAGTTGCCTTCATTTCTGTTATGGTCTGAATGTTTCTACTCAAAAATGTTTTTGTTGAAGCCTCATTCCCAAAGCAATAGTATTAAGAGTTACCAGAGGTTAAACCCAGCGTGTTTAACCACTGAGCCATATCCCCAACTCTTTTTTAAAAATATTTTACTTTAGAGACACAGACTCACTAAGTTGCTTAGGACCTTGCCAAGTTGCTGTGGTTGGCTTCAAACTCATGATCTTCCTTACCTTTTAGGGGTAATCAGTCATGGAAGAGAAACCTTCCTGAATGAAATTATTGCCCTTATTAAAAGAGGCCTGAGGAAGCTTGTTCATTTCTTTGACCATGTAAAGGTGCAGCAGTAAAGTGGCAAAAACCCTTACCAGACATGGTGGAATCTACTAGTACCTGGATCTTGTACTTCCCAACTTCTAGATCCATGAGAAAGAAATTTCTCTCTCTCTCTTTTTTTTTTTTGGTATTGGGGTTTGAACTCAGGGACATTTAACCACTGAGCCACATCCCCAGTCCTTTTAAAAATATTTTATTTAGAAACAGGTCTCACTGAGTTACTTGGGCCTCACTAAGTTGCTGAGGCTGGCTTCGAACTTGTGATCCTCCTGCCTCAGCTTCTTGAGCTGCTAGGATTACAGGCATCTGCTAAGGTGCCTGACTATTTGTGTTATTGTTTAAGACACTCAGTCTTAATGATGTTTTTGTTATAGTAGCCTAAAAGTACTAAAACACTTTGTTAATTTTGCTATACAAAAGATAAAAAGACTAGTAGTTCTGAAATCTGTAGAAATTGACTTAAATTCTAGACTTTGAGAAAAAACTGAAACTAGAAGTGGCTTTCTTACATAAGAAATAAGCAGTATTTCAAATGAATGATTATTTTGTATAAGAAAATACTAGTTTTCCTATACGACTCTAAGGAAATTATATTACCAGAGATAACAGAAAATTCAAAATAAGTTTTTTTTTAATAAGTTGTTAATAGACCTTTATTTTATTTATTTATATGCGGTGCTGAGCATAGAACCCAGTGCCTCACACATGCCAGGCAAGTGCGCTACTGCTGAGCCCCAGCCCCAGCCCCTCAAAATAAGTTTTAATCAACCTTATGATGAGTCTGATAGTGGAAGAATCCCTTGGTCTTACGGTAAATTTCTCAGTGCACTGTGCCGAGTCTGTTGCCAGAATAACTGGCTCTAATTCATAAGATATTATGTTAAGTATCTTCTAAATGCTGAGTGTTAGAATAAGTAGAATAATAAGACATGGTCTTTGCTTCTTGAAGTATAACTTAGTCATAGTGTTAGAGTAATAGTAAAAATAGCAATCTAGTATTATTAGAGATTAACATAGTAACAGTATTATGGTATATGTATTATTAGAGATTATATAGTAATAGTAACAGTGATAATAATGATTACTATTACTATCATTTAATATTAATAATATTAAGTTACTATTATTACTGTTATATTATTGCTGCTATTCTATTCTGAATTTATAGTAAAATATTGCCTAGCATATCAAATAACATGCTGATACATTTTTACCTAATCACATTACACATTATACTATTTAATATTAACTTTGCATGTTATGTAATTAATTTTATTTTTAAAATGCATTTATAATTAGGGCAAATGTTGATATTTATAGAAGATATTGAACACTAGTTGTTAAATTTTGATGTCTATTTTTGCAAAAATTAATTATGCTATATTATGAGGATCACAGATAATGTAAGTCTTTTCTGTCAGATTAGGCATGTATCACCTTATTCAAAAAATGTTTTTAAGGTGTTATATAACACTAAATGTCAGAATTCCAGCCATAATTTTTGAAATTTATTTTGAGGAGTAACTGTATTTGAGAATTTTTTTTTACACAATCACCTATTTGAAAAATTTTGCCTCTATAGTTTATAGGCATTTATTCTTTATATTACTGTAACTGAGGAAATTGATATGAAATGGGATGTTAGCCTGTGGGATGTATTGTATATAATTTTGAATGTGAAGTTCATGTCATTATTAAATATAAAAGTTTAAATTAGATTTTTTTGAAAATATTTTAGTTGTTGATAGACCTTTATTTATTTATATGTGGTGCTGAGAATCAAACCCAGTGCCTCACATGTGCCAGGCAAGTGTACTACCACTGAGCCACAGCCACAGCCACCTGCTGCCCCCCCTTTAAAATATTTTTTTAGTTATTGTAAATTAGATTTTTATGTAGTTGTTTTTTCTTGGTACTAAGGAACATGTGCTATTAAATCTGAAGGAGAACTTAAAAACTATATAATTGGGCCAACTCTTTTGTTTTTCTTATAAGGAATCAGGGAAAATAAATTATTTGCTTAAGTTCAGGTCGCAAATACAATGGCTCAATGTAACTCCAACTAATTTTGTGCACTGTTATAGGTATATTCTATATTGGATAGGACTTGGCTTTTGTGTCAGATTATCAGTTCAAATTCTGGCTCAGCCCTAGTTAGCCAGCCTTCTGCCAGAAAAGTCAAGGCACTGAAAATTAATTGATATTTTCTATTAGTGGCTATTCATACTTAATAGATTCCATTCACATGTAAGGACTTTTGAAGTTGTGGCCATACTATTTTATCCCTTTTTGAAGTATTTACACTAGAATTGTTATTCTAGTCACTCTAGATGAGCAAGTGGACTCCTTCTAAAATCATGTTTTACAGTTTGTGAGTCAGGGTCTTCTATATCCCTGGGGGGGGGGTAAAACAATGAAAAATAACAGTATTACTCATTTGCTTTTAAAAAGCATAGCAAATAAAATTTGTTGGATTTAAAGACCTTTTCTGATCTGTCACCCATCTCCTGAATTATCTGTCTCACTTGTTCACTAAATAGTTCTGTGACCTTAGATTTTGTTGGCAGAGGTTGCTTGAGTTTTATGTAATGCAGATTGTTTGTTTCTTTAAGTCGCCTGTTTCCCCCTCTTTCAAGTTTTCAAACCAGTTATTACAGCTTAAAATGTGTGTGTGTATGTGTATGCACATATGTAGTCATATTTTCCTTTGTTTTGATTTTATTACCACCTGCCTTTTTTGTCAAGTTACCTGGTGCTTTAGTACTGTAAGTTCAGTTGTGCATTGCTTCCTATGCACATATGAGACTGACATAAAAATAGATTTCTTTCTATATTCTGAATAGCATTAATGAATGCAGGATCAATTCTCTTTGGCTTAGGTTGGGTAGTCACTGTGGCCTATGCGATGAAATGTTCTGGGCAAGTCTTGGTTATATGTTTACTCCTAAATTTAGTAGTGCAAATGGGATACAATTATTTCAGTAAGCTCTATAAGAACCATTTGAACTCAAAAAATGAGGGAAATGGGAACTTCTAAGGAAAGTCAGGATTCTTATTACTAATAACTAGGTAGATTAGAACAATAGTGTTTATGATAGTATAAAAATCTTATAAAATTATGCTATTAGATCACAGGTTAGTGAGTGATTACTTTAAAGTCATTTGGGAAGCTTTTAAATATCTTGGGTCGATGCCCTGACTGTACCCTGGACCAGTAAAACCAGAAATTCTGCAAGTAATATAAAATTCCTCAGCAATACTATGCAAATAAGGAGGTGGACAGAGTTGATGGAGTATTTAGTTAGCAAGGGTTCAATAAGAGGGGTATCAGAGAAGTTCCTGTGGGTGAAGCATGATCCCATAGCCCGCAGGGAGGCCTCACAGCCAGGAAGGGACTTACAGTTTAGGAAGTCATGGAGTAATCTCCAGTCTGGAAGGAGACCCAGGAAGAAGAAAATGAAGCCTGGGATTCAAGCCCAGTTTCATAATGTATATTGAAAATCTAAAGAACCAGGATCTGTTCCTGCTAGCTTCAATGGATGTTTGTCTAGAGCAGTAGTTTAGGAGTCTGATTCACCAGTGGATTGCCCATTAGTTAGTCAGAAGTGAAGACAAATGCTTCAAAGTCACTTAGGGTCCTCAAATGATGAATCTGACCCTCTCTTGAGTCGTGGCACCATAACTTAACAAAATTATTCTGTGATACTTATTAAGTGTGATAAAGTTGATTTTACCATCACAGTAGGTATAGGGACCACAGCAGTGGGATTTTACAGTAGTTTGGGAAAAGAGATTGGGCTCAACTCCAGTAGAAATTCATAGCCAAGTGAGCAGGATGGGTGAGGTCGGTGGATCAAAAATTGCTGAGGTTGCATCAAGAGTAAGGGGCATTCTGGCTAAACTAGCCCAACACGTAGCTGATGATAGAGGATAAAAAAAAACCTCATCAGTGGTAGATATTGAGGGTATCTGACTTAGCAGGGTTTGTCTGCTAAAACTGAATTTTATAAGGAAATGCATGGAAATACCTAGGAGACATTTGAGAAGCCTGACTAAAGGTTAGTTAAGTGAAAAACCTATGGCAATAGATATAAACTTTATGATGCTAATTTTTTTCTTTTATGCTGTTTTATTTTAAATAGGCTGATAGCGCGCCAGCTTGCTAAAATCCATGCTATCCATGCACATAATGGCTGGATCCCAAAATCTAATTTGTGGCTCAAGATGGGAAAATATTTCTCTCTCATTCCCACAGGATTTGCAGATGAAGACATTAATAAAAGGTAAAACTACTTTCATATTTGCAATTGTTTTCATCGCTTTGCTCTATGATAGGGACTAAAAGGTAGTAATTACAGTGTTTCTATGTATTAAAATTTGATTTTGTTTATCTCTGCGTTGAAGTTTAAAAAAGCTTGATTCTTTGACTTTCAAATGACATTACAAAAGTAACTACCTCTCTATCCCCCTGAAGATCCTGCCCACCAAAGGGGGAGGGTACACAAAGGGGCAAGAAACAAATATTGAGCACATATTTAGAAATAATTATAAAGATCATTATGAATGCATACATTTTTGCCTATTATGAATTTTCCATAGAGGCTTTTTTAAAAAAATTCTTTTTAGTTCAAAGTTGTTTTGAGAAAAGACAGATCTACTTTGGGACAGTATGGTAATATTGGAACATGGGTAAGTTTCGGTTGTCTTAGTTTACAAATGCCAGATAATGAATATTAATATTCATTTGTTGGAGTCTTACACAGCTTTTGTAAGACTGACTTCCCAGGTTGCAGCTGACTACAGTATTTCCTTGATTTCTACATTAAAAAAATTATATATCAGTATTTAGAATCTAAATAATATGAATGTATTTTTATATAGTATGGTTATTACTGATAAAATTAGAAATTTTTATTATGTTCTTTATATCTAAAACATGTGAAGGCTGTATCTTTGTGTTTAGAAAGTCTTTGTTTTTTAAGAACATGTAGGCAAGCAGGACTTTTAAATTTTTTTCCTTGTTTGCTGCGTTCCCGGCGACATAAACACTCAGACTTTTCGCCCACCTAGGGACTCTATTTGCCAGGTTGCTCTGGCAACCTGACTAAAACAGGGGGTCACTCCAGGGGAACTGGGCTAACTGGGCTGCACAAAATAACCACACAAGAGACAGAAATACCTTTTTCTTTGGGGATGCTGTGACAGCTTCTCTGACCTTAAGGGTCCCCAGAAAGAAAGAGCACATGCTGACCCCTTTTATTGAGGAGAAGCTATTCAAATGAGGCAAGGGGTCAGGTTTCAGGGGGCTGAGTTCAGCTTCATGTCGTCTGCTGTCAGCAGGTTGACTGACATCTAGGTAGGCCACACCCAAGGGCACAGTAAGAGAAGGGAACATACAAAGGACATTTCCATGGAACATTCTGTCCTAAACAGGGCAAGGGGTAATATTACAAAAGAACAGGTGAGCATAGCTCCACCCATGGGAATGTGGAAAGACATGCCCATGCAGGAAGACACAGTGGCTCGCACCCTAAAAATTGTGGCTATCGTCTGGGTTACCTAGGCAACCAGATCACAGAGTGACCTACGACAATGCCACACCAACCAGAAGGGGAGATAAGATGTGGTCATGTGCTAGCTGGCCTCCCACATTGTTTCTTTTTGTTTTTATAGTTTATTAGGGAAAAATTGTCCTCAAGTTTAATTATTTCAAAGTTTAATTTGATCTGCTCTGTGTGGTTGGCCCTCTGTTTCTATAGGCTCTGTACCCACAGATTCAACCAACTACACATCAAAAATACTTGAAAAAAATTACTTCTGTACTAAGATACATTTTTTTTGTCATAGTTCCCTACACAATACAGTATAATAGCTATATATCATTTACCTTATTATGTATTATTAGTAATCTAGAGATGATTAAACATAGGAGAGTATGTGCCTAGGTAAGGGACTTGAGTTGAGCATCTGTGAATTTTGGTATCCTGGAACCAATCCCCTGCAGATACTGAGGGACAGAACTGTATGTGTTTGTATTTGTAAGTGGTTTGTCAATGTTGGAATTTCATAGGGATATTATATTCCTCAAGCTAGAATAGGCAAACTTTTGGAAGTATGTGTAGTGTGTTGATATTATGGAAGCCACAGCATAAAAATAGACAATTCCTTCTTGAAATAGCCATTTTATTGAAAGATTTTTGGGGAAGCCATTTTAAAATAATGAGGTGGCCAAGCATGGTGGTGTATGCCTGTTCCAGCTACTTTTGGGAGGCTGAGATAGGAGGATCACAAGTTCCAGGCTAGTCTGGGCAACTTGGTGAGACCCTAGCTCTAAATAAGAAAAATGAAATGTTCTGGGGATGTATGTAGCTTAATGGTATATCCCTTAGCAGAGTGCGAAGGAGAGAGGTAAATGATGATGATGAACCAAGAGTTTTTTAATTTTTAAAGATAATGCAGAGTTGAAAGAGTACAGTATTATGTAGATTAAGAGCCTAAGACTTGGATCCAGATTGAGATCATATCCTAGTTCTGCCAGTAGGCATTTCTGCTGTGTAACATTGGGTAAATTATCTTAACTCATTTCCTCTTCTATAAAATGGAAATAAAAATAGTTTTAGATAAAGTGCTTAATTAAAACAATGCCTGGCTTCATAAGTGCCAAATTAAAACTATTATTATTATTCAAAGGGGATTATTTAGGTCTTTTTTTGCATGTGGTACTGAGAATAGGATGGAATCCTAGGTGAGCTCGTGACTCTGCGCTATATACCTAGCCCTTCAGGTTGGTTTTGAGCTTATATTTCCTAGACTCTCTAAGTTACACTTTAAAGTCTGTATGGTTAGTGAAACTTTGGAAAAGCAAGTAGTGTACCGTGGTAAATAAGAGAGAGAAAACACTCTGCTTCAATAGAAAATACACAACTAGAACAAAAACAATTAAAATTCCCTTTTGTTTGTGAATGATTATAATTAGCTTGTTGATAATCTTTATAATCCTTTGAACCCTGTTATTTCCATTCAACTCCGTACTTTTTTTTTTTTTTTAAATTCTGGAATAGTCATTCCATTTTGAAAGGAACTTGTAAGAATTACTTTTAGAAGTTATTTATAGAGAACAGTGCAGTAGTGGGGAAAATACATACAGTTCAGTCATGTAAAAAAGTTATATTGTAAAATGGAAAACTAAGGAATAATTTGAGAGATTATAGAGAAAGAATCAAGAGAACTTGACAAATATTAAGAAGGAAAAGAGTAAATCAACAGCAGTCATCACCTGATGATACTGTTGAGGAATTTAGTAGCCCATTTTTGTCATTTCATTTTTATCAAATTAATACAAATGTAGCATAATAATTAGTATCAAAGAGTATAGAATGAAAAGCCACAGTTTCTAAGTTTCTCTCCTCATGCTGCCCTGCCCTTTCTACTCTCACAATTTTAAGACATTTTCTCGTGAGTTTGTTGTTCACATAATTATATAATATGAATGTACTTATATTTCCTGAATTATTAATGGTACACAATAATCAATTGATTTTTCTGGAACTTTACCTGTTTATATTGCATTCACTCTTCATAACTTAAAGTAGATATTTTTAATTTTTAAATAGTTTTTATAACTTTAAATAATATTCTTAAAACTTTTTATTAAATTCTTTGTTGTATTTTTTTATTCATAAAATGGAGATAAATGCAGAATATTTAGAATAATATTTAGTAAATGTTAACAGTTAGCTATTTATGTTACTCTTTCCTCCAATTTTGTAATTATAAATCTTATTTTTCTGCCCAACTTTTTTTTTTTTTTTTTTTTTTTTGTGGTACTAGGGATAGAAAGGGTGCTCTGAACAACATCCCCAACCCTTTTTATTTTATTTTATTTTTTTATTTTGAGACAGGGTCTTGTTATTTGCTGAGGCTGGCCTGGAACTTGTGATCCTCCTGCCTCAGCCTCCCAAGTAGCTGGGATTACAGGTGTGTGTCCTTGCCCAACTCTGCCCTACATTTTAACTTTGGCTTTGTTTCTTTTTATGCATATTTTAGTTTATTATAAAGATCTTCTGTATTTCAGCTTTTGGAATACATTGATCTATTAATTCAGGAGCATGTCTAATTAAATGGAAATAACTTACTTAAAATAGATATTAATCCTTAAACTTGAAAAAAATGTCATTAAGATAAACAAAGTATAACTCTTCTTTTAAAACTAAAAGGTTCCTAAGTGATATCCCAAGCTCTCAGATTCTTAAGGAAGAGATGACTTGGATGAAGGAAATTCTTTCCAACCTGGGCTCTCCTGTTGTGCTTTGCCATAATGACCTATTGTGTAAGAATATAATCTACAATGAGAAACAAGGTAGGTATTTGATATTAGCAGTAAGTAAAATTGACTGCTTCTATGTTCTTAATGGTTCTTTGTATTAATAACAATAAATGCAATTCAAATGTAAGGATTAAAAACATTCACAAAGCCTGTAAAGAATTTCTTTTAGGTTATAAAGTCATGGTAAAATATTTTTAAAAATTGGTTGGTAAGAAACAGTTTATGGTTCCTTTTGGATTTTTACGTGTATAATGATTAAATACTGTTTTCACATATAATTCTGAAACCTGTTTGAGGTTTTATGATTTTAAATTATACCTGCTTGTAATGAGGGTTGTAGAAAATCAACAAATTGACATTGTACTGCTTTGTTTTCATATTTACAGAAAATTTCCCACAGTATTGTTAAAGACAGCAGTATTAGAAACAAGTGTGGTGTAGGTTTTCTACTACCTGTTTCTTATGCTGATTAGTTAGACATTTTGATGCTAAGGAGAGAGCCAGAAAGGGAGAAAATGTTATTTGAATTTACCCAAATTTATATCTACTAAAGTAATAATCAAGAAGCTTTGGTAATAGCTTTTAACATTTTTTGAGTTAGAAATTGATACTTTTTGGTGGAATGTTTTTTGTGAGTGTTCATATCTTGCTGTGTTCGAATTTTCTCTGTTTTCATATCTAAGAAACATTTGATTGTATTATATCATTGGGTAAAGTGGATTGAGGTTTGGTTGCTAAATAATAGATGCCCTTCAAATACTAAATTGAAAGTTAAAAATACAATTTTGTTTAAAGAATTAATATTAATTAAAAGTATATTGAAACTATGAAGCTATTGCTTTTCATAGGAAACTGGTTTTTAAAGATATTTTAGATGGAAGACCATATTTTTAATCCAAAGTGTGCTGTTGTGAATATACTAAAGCCAAAGAATTCTCATTAACATGGTCAAAATCATGTTGAATTATTACTATGACCCCTTTTATCATATTATAAGTTTAGACTATTGTAATATAAGGGTTATTAATATTAATAGATGGCTTCAATGTGAAAACCAACCAAAGCAACACTGTCAGAGATGGTAGATGTAAGCACATATTTTAAAGAACGTGTTTATATTATGCTTGTTATGTTTAAAAAAAATTTTTTTAGTTGTAGATGGACACAGTATATTTTTTTTAATGTGATGCTGAGGATCGAACTCAGTGCCTCATGCATGTGAGGCAAGCACTCAACCACTGAGCTACAACTACAGCCCAGTGTTTGATATCATGGATTATAGAGTATGTCTTTTGAAAACATAATGAGCCTACATCTTTATCTTGAAGCATCTTAAAATTTTTATGTGGTATCCTTTTTTATTTTAAACTTCAGTACATCCTAAAACATTGGGTACGTGACAGTGTCCATTAATGAGTTGTTGTATTATTACATATGATTATCATAGTATATATGTATTACATTATTAGTAACCAAATCTCAATGCCTTTTGTGAGAAAAAAGCATTAGTTATGCATTAAAGCAATGTATTAGCTTTTAAGTTCAGTTCAAGACCTAATAACACCTTATAACAGAATTTCAAGTGAGGGACTCATCTTACATTTGAAGTGGACACTCAGCTTTATTTTTAACTGCAAGTTAATCAAAGACGATCTATTATTTCCTTTGGAATATAATTTTCACCTTTCATATTTTTGTTTTTATGAGTTTCTTTTGCATATTCATTTCATAGAACAAACTTGTTTATAAAACAAAAAATAAGGGACCAAAAAAATCAGATTACTTTGCCTTAGGTTTTTTAATTTTAACAGTTGCCTATATCTAAACTATTCAGTTATATGGAAAATTCCTGTATTTTCAAATAAAATCTTCATGCTTCAATTGGTTTTTTAAGAGGTCAAGGTTGTCTTTTATTTTATTTTTTTTAAAAACAAAGAGTTAAATGAATCATCATTTTGTGTCTTGATTTTTCTCTGCTACACAGAATAAATTTTACAGCTCCACAAATGTAACTATTTTGATTCATATTATTAGAGCTCACCCTTTTTCAGAAGTCCATGTTGTACCATTTGTTTCTTCTTTGTGGTTATGTTTGTGTGCTAGTTTTGGAAAGGTGGTATTTTTTCCCCCCATTAGCAGTCAGTTTTATAATGTTGTTTGGAAGCTAATTTGGACCTCGTGGCATCCATTTGAAAAATACAGTCAGTTCATATATAATTAATTGATATATAAGCATACTCTATGTCCCATCATGTTATATACACGACATTAAAAAACTTCTACAGAATCTTATAGGACACTTACAAAATTGCTCGATTTAAGTTTTCATAGCTGTCCTATGAATAGGACAATGGGACATGGATTTTGAGAAAGAAAATATAATTTGAATGCTCAGTTAAAATATCAAGAAACTATGGTAAGAATTTTATTCAAGTCTTTAATAATAGATTTCAAATTAGGAGCTCATGATCTTGAGGTAATATAACCATATTATTTATTTGAGTCTTTAGTTGTAAGTAGAAGATACCATGCCTCATATTCTATAAATTAAGTAAGCTTAATGTACAATTAAGTAAGTTTAATTCACATAAGTGATTGTAGCATAGATAATTTAGTTATGGCAATAATCTCAGAAAGGTTTATTAAAACTACAGATGTGATGGGGCTGGGGTTGTGGCTCAGTGGTAGCGTGCTTGCCTAGCATGCATGAGGTACTGGGTTCGATTCTCAGCACCATATACAAATAAATAAAGGTCCATCAACAACTTAAAAAAAAAAAAAAAAAGAAACCTACAGATGTGGACTGCAAAGCTATTTACCTTTTTAACTGGTTACCTAAGGAGCCAACTTGAATCTTTTGAGATTGAGATAATTTCCACATAGAATTCTTTTTTTTTTTTTAAATTTTTTATTGTTGGTTGTTCAAAACATTACATAGTTCTTGATATATCATATTTCACACTTTGATTCAAGTGGGTTATGAGCTCCCATTTTTTCCCCATATCCACATAGAATTCTTAATTAAATTGTATATTAGATTCACAGACATATTTGATTTGTTGTTCTCTTTACCTCATTCGTGTGATTTGACCTGAAGGCCTTACTATTTTATTACCTACCTTGTGAGATTCAAATAGATAAAAAAGTAATGGATGAGAGCTCAGTGGTAGAGCACTTGCCTAGATGGATGGCTAAGGCCCTGAGTTTGAGCCTCTGCAACATTGTTCTTTCCCAAAACACAAAAGATGAAAGCCAAGGGGCTGTCCTTAGATGGCATCAAGTTCAGTATTTCTCCATAAAATGTTTGAGACAATTTCTCTCAGAAGTGCAAATTTTAGACAGACTTAAAAATTTTTACAGGACCATCTTGAAAGTCTGTGTCTCCTATATCTATATCTTTATCTCTATCTGTGTGTATTTTTTATTTTTATTTTTACAGTACTGTGAATTGAACCAAGTGTGCTCTACCACTGACCTATATACTCTCAGTTCTTTTTTATTCTGAGATAGGGTCTTTCTGAGTTGCTGAGGATAGCCTGGAGCTTGTGATCCTCTTGCCTTAGTCTCCTCAGTGCATGGGCAACCATGCCTGGCTCTGTGTGTATTTTTTTTTTTTTTAAATATTTATTTTTTAATTTTAGGTGGACATAATATTTTTTATTTTATTTTATTTTTTTATATGGTGCTGAGAATCGAACCCAGAGCCTCAGGAATGCTAGGCGAATGCTCTACCACTGAGCCACAACCCCAGCCCCTCTGTATGTATTTTTAAACCATAATAGTTCAGATTTTCTGTTTTAACTAGAAAAATCTCCAATAAAGGATGTATTCAAGCTTAGTTACAACCAAGAAAAGTTATAGATTTTGGAAAAAGAATATTTCAGTCACTTGAAGTAAATGGTATATAGACCAATTGTTTTATCCTTTTAGAAGTATTTAGATTTGATTTTTGACTATTTACTTCAGAATCTCCTGGGGTATTTGGCAAAAGTGCAGATTTCTGGGTCCCATCCAAGGCAAACTGAACAAGAGCTTCTATAGGTAGGCTTAAAAATCTGCATGTTTAACAGCTTCCCAGGCAGTTCTTTTACTATTGATAGTATAGAATTTGTGTTTGCTTTATTTTTAATTTAGAGATAATGTGACTTAAGATGGTTACTGATAAAATTTTAGATTTAATGCACATAAAATATATAAGACAGACCAAGCACTTAGCAGCTCTCAGTTGCGATTTTTTCCCTTAAGGAGTTAATATGTCTTTTAGGCTTTGTAATCATACTGTGGTCTCCATTAAATATATTCAACTCTATGTTATAGCATGAACATAGTCATAGGCACTATATATACATAAACAATATGCTAACTCGTATATTATCTATACAGTATGCATTTTATAAAATGTGTCTGGTTATGACAAAGTGAAATTCACTAATTTACTACTCACTGTGATTAGTAGATTTATGGCTTATAGGTGTGAGATGATAACTTGTTTTATCTTTGTGCAGTTTTTTCTATCTTAACTGTAACTAGGGTGATTAATATAAAAAATTTAAAAAATGTGTAGATGGGAGTATATATGTTCCTATGCTTTAAAAATTTTTTTGTAGTTGTAGATGGACAGAATGTCTTCATTTTATTTGTGGTGCTAAGAATTGAACCCAGTGCCTCACACATACCAGGCAAGTTGCTCTGCCACTGAGCTATAGCTCCATCCCTATTTCTATTCTTTCTTAACTATAATTAGGATGATTAATTTAAAAGTGTATAGGTAACATTCTTACACAGTGCATTCAAAGACTGTAAGCATCATGCAGTTTGACCTTTTCACGTGCAAATGTTACAGGAAATGATGCCTCTGTTTGTTCTCACCATGTCAGCTGATAGGATTGAAGAATATGTGAGAAGACTGAGCTTAATTTCTAAAATGGATGATAGCTCTCAAGATTTTTGAAAAGTCAGTGCTAGGAATTAGGTGGTTGATAAACAGTGGCCCATTCCTTGCCCAAAAAGATAGGAAAAGAACACTTAATGAT